AGGACAGAGCAGTATGGTGTGAGATTTCATTACACTACTCAGAACAGCAAGCAACTTAAAACTGATGAATTATTTCAGAAATTTTCCTTTTAATATGTTTGGGCAATGGTTGACCCTGGGTAACTGAAACCACAGAAAGCAAAACTGCAAATAAGCAGGGACTACTGTACATAATACGTATATATAGATGTATATTGTGCATGTAGACATATTTACGTGTGTGTATGTATGTATGTGTATGTATATATGCATAGATCTATCTTGTTAGGACTTGCAAGAGCTTTAAAATCTATTATCAGATTATACATTTCTTTAGCCAAACAATAAATCCTCTCTGATGAGTCATGGCACTTTTAAGAAAAAATACAAGGTCAGATGGTTCAGAATAAACAAATCAACAAATTAGCAAACAAAACCAGCCTAGGGCAGGCATCCAGGCACTTCCTGTCGAGGCTCTCTAAGACAGATTTTAGGTGCTATTTTCTCTTGTTTTTCAATTTCATTTTCTTCTGGGCTCTAAGTAATTCCACTCATTCTTTAAGTCTGATTCACATGATTTTACAGTCAGGAAGGGAGTGGAAGGAGGTGGGAAAAGAGAAGTGGTGGGGAGGCAGAAATCGAATATTTATCAAGTTACACAATAAAAAGAAATTCAGTATTCTAACATGTTCTCCTTTGTATAATAAGAAAATACATTCCCTGAGCTAATACCTGCAGAGCTCTGGCTCATGCTGAGGGTGTGGTCCCAATATCTCAGTGGGCAAAATGAGAGTAAGCAATAATCTGAGACAGAGGCCAGCAAACTCTTATGCATGGGCTAAGTCTGGCCTGCGGGGTTATTTTTGTACAACCCAAGAGTAAAGAACAAATTTTACATGTTTTAAAGGATTATGACTCAAAATACAGAAAAAAATGTGCCAGAGACCACATGTGGCCTGTGAAGGCAAAAATATTTATTCTCTAGACCTATACAGATGAAGTTTGCTGACTCCTGTTCTACGGAGATACTAATAACGTGCTTCTGAAATTGCTTTTAGTCTGAAGTGTGTTTGGCCTGAACTTGGCTAAAACATGGCAAGACTGCAGGACTGTGGTCCATCAAGCCAGAATGACTCTGAACTTTCTGTAGCAATACACACACTTGATGTTATCTATCATAGGCTTAGCACAGCTCCGTGGCACTCATTTATAGAGTTTATACTCATGTTTGTTTATGTCACTTTGTTTTATAGGTGTTTTCCTACATGATTTTCTGTTTTCAGTTTTGCAGTGCAGCAAGGTTCTCTCTTAGAAGATACATGGGAGGCAAAATCATGAACTTGCTATACTGGCCCACTTGTTGTAATGACCAGAGGGCTTTGTTATGGCACCTTGAATTAATCTGGAATCTAGTTGAAACATGAAGATGTGATCTGATTACTTCTCATCTGTCTTTCACTAAACCTGGGAAATTTTTGATTACTGTTCCTTAAATGATTATTTTCTGCTCCATCTTCTCTCTCCTCTCCTTCTGTGACTCCCATTACCCTTATGCTAAAATGCTTGATACTGCCCCACAGGTAACTGAGTCTTGCTCATTGTCAACAATTTTTTCCTTCCCGTTTTCTAGACTGAATAATATCCAAACTTCTATCTTCAACTTCACTAATCTTTCATCATCTTACTCTATTGTTAGATCCATGGAGTGAATTTTTAAAATTTCAGATATTGTATTTTTTAGTCGTAAAATTGTGTTTTGTAGAGTATCTCTTTTTTTCTTGAGATTCCCTAAATGTTCTGTGACCATGAGCATAGCTTTTCTTACATTTTTTAGCATAGTCACAATAGCTGCTTTAACATTCTTTTCTTCTAATTCCAACACATACGTCATCTTGCAGTCAGTCTCCATTAATGGCCTTCTCTTTTGAGTATGGATCTGTTTCCCTGTATGACTAGTAATTTTGGATTGTACCCAGAACACTGTGAATGATACACTAATGAACAGAAGTACTGGTCAACAGAAATGAGAATTGGATATATAATTTGGATTTTTTTTTTTTTTTGAGATGGAGTCTGGCTCTGTCACCTAGGCTGGAGTGCAGAGGCATGATCTCAGCTCACTGCAACCTCCATATCCCAGGTTTAAGCAATTCTCCTGCCTCAGCCTCCTGAGTAACTGGGACTACAGGTGTGTGCCACCATGTCTGGCTAATTTTTGTATTTTTAGTAGAGATGGGGTTTCATCATGTTGGCCAGGCTGGTCTCGAACTCCTGACCTCAGATGATCTACCTGCCTTGGCCTCCCAGAGTGTTGGGATTACAGGCATGAGCCACCATGTCCAGCCTGTTAATTTGGATTTTTTAGAAGTCACATTAAAATAGTAAAAAAATCTCGATTTTAATTTTAGTAATTTTGTTTATCCCAATGTATCCAAAATATAATCCTTTGGGATGATTATAATCAAAGTAATCACATGAAAATTAAGATATTTTATAATCTAAAATTATTTTATAAAATTAAGTTAAGACTTATAATCTCTGTTCATACTAAATATTTAAAACCTCATGTATATTTTATATTTAGAGCAGATTTCAATTTGGAGTGGCTAGTGACTACCATATTGAACAATGCAGTTCTAGAGTATCATTTTAGAAGAATATTGAATGTTTGTTTTAGTAGGCAGCTAATTTGCTGGAATAAAACTCCAGGCATTGTCTCTCTTATGGTGGGCAGCAGCTACCGTCTCAGTTCAGGTCTTCTAGCCTTAGATGTGCTATGTGGGGTCTGGCGGGGCTGTCTTATTCTTAGATTTGGCCTTAGTCTCTAAGAATTCCCAGAGATTCTTGAGATACATGCAGAATTTGGGAGTCCCCTTCTGTGGCTCCCTCTTTTCTGGAGTTTTTCCTTCTCAATTTCTAGCTGCTATGGGTTTCCCTGAATATTCTCCTTTGATGGCTTAACCAGTAAAAGATGGCAGGTATCTATCAGACTTTTAGTTAGTCTCAATGGAACTAGGGCCTTCATTTGGTTAAAGAGCTGTCAACATGGGTAATTCAATTCCATGCCACTCTATTCCTCCATTTCTTTATTTCTCTTCAGTTTCTAATTGCTTTCTAGCTTTAATTAGTTAATTAATTTTTGAGATGGAGTCTCGCTCTGTTGCCCAGGCTGGAGTGCAGTGGCATGATCTCGGCTCACTGCAACTTCCGCCTCCCAGGTTCAAGCAATTCTCCTGCCTCAGCCTCCTGAGTAGCTGAGATTACAGGCATCTGCCACCACACCCGGCTAATTTTTATATTTTTAGTAGAGACAGGGTTTCACCATGTTGGCCAGGCTGATCTCGAACTCCTGACCTCAAGTGATCTGCCCGCCTTGGCCTCCCAAAGTGCTGGGATTACAGGCGGGAGCCCCCTCTCCCAGGCTGCTTTCTAGCTTTTAAACAATTGCTTTTTATACTGTCTCCAGAGTTTGTAATTGTAATCTGCAGGAGGGTTGGTCCAATATAAGCTACTCTATCACTACAGGACGCAGAACCCTTGATTTTTAAACCTTATCACTGGAGTCCCACAGAGGAGCCAGGACCTACTGTGAGAGGTGGAAAAGGCAGAGTAGACTGGCCCACTCTGCCACATCACGTGTGTGTCTCAATTCAGTGGCAGCAGCTTTCATTTCATCTGTTTCATTTTATTGGTTTCTGTGCATAATTTTAAAAAGACTTGGGTATAAAATAGTTTGAAAACAGAACTGATTTTTAAAATATGCTTCTCGAATGGAGCCCTAAGACCTTTTTGCTCAATCATGCCATTGAACTCATGCTGACCTCTCCTCCTCCATCGTCTCTTACCCTATTTTCCAATCACTTCACCAGGGCCAGGCCATCTTTAGTTTCCAGAGAAGAGGCTGTAGCCTGTTAGACTGCTGAGTCTTTACAGTGGCAAATCCTTCTTTCTGTGGCCCACGAATGTGACTTGTTGAGGGACTGATCGATAGGTTTGTGGTACGGCTGCTCATACCGAGGGTGCTCAAGCAGATTTCCTGCAGTGAGCTCTTCCTCCAGGCCTTCAGCCTTAAGGGTGGAATTTCATTCTTAATTTGGCAAGGAGCACAGAAAATCATCGCAGCAAGCCTCACCTTCTTTTTTTCCTTCCTGTCTCCTCTCTTTCTCACTCAGACACATTTTAAGAGTTTGACAAAACAAAGGGGGATGGTGCAGAGGCCAAATATGTTGTGAAACTCTTGTACTAGGCGAGCGGCACAAATTGAGTTAAGAAACCTAAAAAATGGAAATACTAAACACCCAGTCTAATTGGAAAAGGTCAACATGCCTTAAATGATACACAGAACCGCAAAGCAAAAACCATTCACCTCAATTCAGAGCCGAACGGAAGGTCAAAGGGTGACATGACACAATGTAATGGATTTGCCGAAGTCACGCTAAAATGACTCGAAAAGAGGCGGCTTAACTGATGAACATATTCCACACAATTCATCTCCTGACAACCTAAGAGAGTTCACATCGGTAACACGGCCATGAAAGCTGGGGTTGGGACAGAAGTTCTGATTGATCCCAAAGAACAAACACCAAGATCCACACTCATTGGCATGAATTTCAGCCACTGAAACAGGTCACCCACAACATTAGCCTGTGTGCACCCTTTCTCCTGGACACTCAGATGCTAATATTTGTTTCCTTCTCCACCAAGACAAAGTAATTTGGGGAAGCCAATGGGTACTGGTTAAAAGTGTGGTGGTGGCTTTTTTTTTTTTTTCCTGTGCCATGAGATGTTACTAATGGTCTCCTACAGAATGCCTTCCAGTGAAGACTGTATTTCCATCAGAGTTCTGGCTCAGTAGCTAGAAATTTGGTAATTTGAGCAAGCAGAAATCACTCATCAACAATAACAGAACATAGCATAGAGCAGTACTGTGGCATTAACTGCCTATTGCTCCCCACCATTGATGGTGCTGCTGCCCCAGATTCTGGTGGGTCCAAGCTACAGAACAGAACCCAGCTCCTTACCGTGACTGGCAGGGGTGCAAGTTGCACCTTCGGACCTGGGGCTCTGGGCGGCTTGCTTGAGGGCAGTCACTGTCATTCACCAGAGTTGTGGTCTTGTTGACAATCCGTGTGCACGAGACGATGGTTCTGCGCTCCCCTGGAAACCAAACCACAGGGAGCTGAGAGACTGTGGCCTCACCCACCTGGAAAGGCTGGGCTTGCATGCCCATGAAGGAATGTTTGGGTGCTGCTGATGGGCACTTTGTCATTTAGAGTGACTGTTGTAAATGTTGTGTGGGTTTGTAGAGAAGAACTGTAATTGCAGGGAGGAGGGTGCAAGACACAGAAGGCAGAGTGGGGCCCTGGAAGATTCTAGAACAGGATGAGAAAGCAGCAACACCTCAGATCAGCGGTGTCCTTGGACAGCTTGGGGTTCGTTGATTTGGGCCTTTAATTTCCAAAGATTGCTCATCTTTTTATCTTCTGGATTGATGTTTAAAGTCTATGGAGAGCCGATCTCAATTAAATACTTACACATCAGCCCTCACTAGAGAGTCTGGCTACCTATTACAGAACTCCTGCTTGCTGGGGAGAAGTGGGGGACAAGGAGTCTGGTCTGGAAGACACGCAGACCTGCATCCTCTAGACAGGCATTCCAGAGCCATTCTGAATTTGTCTAGCCAGCCAGCTGGTACTTATGGCGGAGCTCCTACCTGCTCTTGAGAAGCTTTGCTAATCCATTATCCCAGTTGGATGTAGCCCTTCTTTTGGGTGTTCTCAGAGCACCCTAAACACTGCATGGCAGGCAGGCCTTTGTCAGGCAGGCCGAGTGACTGGGAGTTACGAGGGTGGCCCTTGGAGCCAGGCTGTCTGGGTTCAAGTCTTGGCTCTATCACAAATAGCATCACAGTGACCATAGTGTCGACAGTTGGCCACCATGTTTCTGCATCTCGGTTTCCTCAAGCAGGCTGGTTTGCTTAATTTCTCTGTGCCTGAGGGTGCCTCAGTGATGATTAAAATAAACAAATATATATGGTGTCCATAGAACGGAACCTGGCAGGTGGCTAACACTTCATGTTAGTTCTACTGCTGTCATTATTATTATTATTTGGGAAGAGTGACAATAAAAGATTAATAGGGAGTCGAGCACAACTATTTGGATCCTGGGCTCCTTGCTGGTCTGTGTCCTGGGCAATATGTCACGTAGGGATGACTCGAAATCATGGAGACCTGAACTCCACCGCCAGTTCCTGCTGCCCCACATGGCAGCCTTTTGTGAGTACAGAAAGCACAGAACTGCTTTCAGCTGTGGTGGCAGGTCTGACCACTGTGTTAGGAAGCTGGAAGTCATCAGTGTCATAAAAGGATTGCCATCAAGCCAACAGCAACAGAACAGCCTGCCCCTGACCCCAGGAGAGCCTGTTTACTCTTCCATGTGGGCTATGCTTAGTTTGCGACAAGTTGCCCAAGAGGAAAATCTGGCTGTAATCAGAGGTAGATGTGTTGGCTGGATTTGGAGGTTGAAAGGCCATCTACACAAGGGGCAGCTAAGGGCTGAGGGGGAGAAGGTCCCCCGGGGAGAGGTGCAGAGTGGTGGATGCAGGGCTGATGGTGGTATCCAGAGGCTATGCCAACTGCCGCAGGGCTGCTGCAGGAAGAGGCTAAGCACAGACAGTGAGGGTGGTTGGCCAAGATGCCCAGGAAGAAATTTCTGTGTGTCTATAACTCCTACCCATGAAAAATGGGATGAGTCCCTTAAATGGTAAGCAATGCTTTACATATTGGACATCCAATAAAACTTATCCAAGCAGTTAATAGATGCTCAGGACTAGGGATGGCAGGGGCTATGCCCGGGCTTCCATTCCGTCATCCAACTCTCTGGGCTGGCCTACCAGAGTCCAGGTCAATCTTCTGTCCCAACTCTGTGCCCACTAAAATCCACCCACCCTGTGTTCCATCTCCCATGACCCTGCTATGTTCCCTGCTAGGGTGACAGACAGCACTGTACTAAGAAACTGCTGACTCAGAGTTCAGAATGACTTCCTACTGCTCCCTCTCAATGACACAACAATAAATACAATGCCTTGTGGTCATATTGATTCTTGCTGTACGACAGGCTCTTTGGCTCACCCTGCGGACCCTGCAGGGGGCATGAGAGACAACTATCCTATTTTAGAGGTGAGGGAACTCGGGGTAGAGAGAGGAAGTCATTTACTGAGGTCAAGCAGGAAGTTGTGCAGTCAGGACTCATGCTAGGAATGTTTCACCCGACTTGCAGGACTTTTTCTTTCCATTGTGTCCTGGAGTGAGGTGACTGTGGCCAAGAGGGAAGGGAATTTGGGAGTGGGCAGAGACATGCTTTGGTGCCCCTCCAGCAAGCGGCAACAGTTGAAGGTCTATTCTGTTTATTCCCAGGGTCCACCTGTCACACCCAAGACGTAGTCATACATCAGCCAAACCCCACTTCACCCACAGGTCAGAGCTGGGGGGCCCTGAGCTCCGGGCAAAGCAGCGGTATGGGCATGATCCTAGTGTGGGAGTTGGGAAGACTCTACCCAAGTATTTTGCAGAGAGATTTTCGGTGGGGTATGATTAAATTCCCATGGAACTACAGGTTACAGATTTCCCAGACTCTGTGTGCTGGCCACAGATGCCTTTCTCCTTCCTTCAGCAAAACCCCACACCCAATAGGCCACGGCCCACGGCCACTCACCTCCTCCACACTGCACACTGCACCCTTCCCAGCCGCTATGGGTCCAGATGAACAAAGAATCCTGCGGTTTTTCTGGTTCACTTTGATTTTCCGCAGTGTGGTTTACAGGAACAGTGTATTCATAATGAATTCCATAATCTTGGTCGTGAAATAACAACACCTGGATCAGCCGCAAAACAAAAGGCCATTTTGAAAAGGAACGAAGGCCCACGGGATTGCCAAATCTGCACACACAGGCACACCGCGGCTGTTTCTCTATGAGGGGTAACCAGCTCTTTTCTGGGGCTGAAAACAGGTTTGACTGAGGGTGCTCCTTTATCTCAGCCCTGGATTCCTCAGGGACTCAACTTGGGAGCAGGGCGAATGCAAACCATCATCAGGAAGTTCTATTATTTCCTACCCAAGAGAGAGACCAGCTTAGACTAGGAGCTTTAGGATAAGCAACTCTGAAACCTCTCACTGCGCTTTTCATGGAGAGCTGCTCCACGCAGAGAACAGTCCTGCGTGTTCACCCACAAAGCTGCCCTTGCACACAGGAAAGACGTGGATAAACTTTTACTTAGAAAGGCATCAGAGCAAGTGCGGTGACTCTACTTCTTTGGAAATGAACATCATCCTTCACTCCCCATCATCAACCACTGCCATGTCAGTTGGTCCAGAGAGTCAGGGGTAAGGCAAGCTCAAGGGCAAAATGCAGCTCACTGCCAGAGGACTTTGGGTGGCATCGGTTTGAGAGTTCAAGGATGCAAGAGGCCTCCACTGTCATGGGAGCCAGGATGATGACTGTACCCAAGGGTGGCAGGAGCCAGGCTCAAGGCTTCAAGCCAGGAGTGCAGTGGAGGTAGAGGGAGGGATCTATCATGTTTTGTGGGAAACTACCATACAGCTTGGAGACCTTGGATCTGAAATCCTAGTCAGCAAGAACATACAGAATAGATGGGTTTAGAACGGCATGTGACAAGTCTTGTAAAGACAGCAGGTGTATGATCAGTTTTATTTATCTAGACACAATGGTGTCAAACAAGCCCTCTTGTAGGAGCTTAACATGGTTTGTCTGTGGATAATGAGTCTTCAAGCTAAGCCTGGAAGCAGTGAGTGCCCCTGGGTCTAAGTAACTAGCAGATTCACTTCCAGCCTGAGACGTCCGAGAGAATGGGCCAGCAGGCACTAAGGGGAGGGTGTGCATGGCCCACCTGACTTGACTTGGGGCAGACCAGGTCAAAGTGTACCAGACAATGGGAGCCATTTCCCTCCAGCCATCTCTCAGTCTCCAAGGCTGAGTTGTGGGGTTGGGCTGCAGTGCTCAGAGCAAACCTAACTGCATCAACATCCACGGCTTCACCAGAGAGACCTGGCGTAACACATTTGGAAAAATGCCTCCAGTTAGGAAAACAAGTCCACCAAAAACCAAACTAGTCTTAGAAAGAGATCTTTATCAGCTCAGTATGAGAATAAGACTGGTGAATTGAGAATTCATATGAAACAAATTTCATGCAATTTTGTAGCCACGTATTGTGTGTGTGTGTGTGTGTGTGTGTGTGTGTGTGTGTGTGTGTAATTGGTTTCAAATGCAGGTCCCCATGATTCTTTGGGTGTTACAGATTCTGCAAACAGTGTGTACACCCCAGTTTGGGGACAATGGCTTTCTATATAGAGGCAAAGGGGCACCTCTCATTTTCAGTTTTAAAATCTTCAAGTGACAATCACATTTTGAAAGAAAAGCTATCAATATTAAGCGAGGGCTGAAACTTCAGTTACGGTAGTAGTTGCTTTCTCCGAGTTTTGTTCATCCTGGTCTGAATGAATCCAGGCTGCGTACTTCGCTTTAATGGGCTAACAACTTGCTCAGTTTACAAAAGCTTTTGGTGAAAAGGGAAATACACTCACATTGGCGTTTGCTAGAGAAAGCAAATTCTCATGTTAACGGGTGAGATTTCAGTACAGGTTTTATGTTTTGCCTCCTCTCTTAGTCCCTCTGAATAACTGCTTTTAACTCGGAATAGGAGGATTTGTTCTGTGACTAGGAAACAATCTTATCCCAGAGAAATGACTTAGGTACACATTATTAGGTCCCAGAAACCTACTTGCAGGAACGTATTTGCAGTGGATTTAGCGGGCTGAGTGGTGCACTGGCAGATTTCTACGTGGTTGAGATTGCACATGAAAACTGCCTTGCCTTTGTCTACCCAGAAATAATAACGGGGTTAACACCACTATGGGGTAACGCCCACCCTGGGTGCCAGTGCTCCTTGGCAGAGCAAGCCTCCTCGGGAGATTCCCTGGGTAATGGCTAGAAAATCTTTTGGGTGTCAATTAATCTGGAACACTTACAGGCTGCCAGAGATCACAAATTATTGGGGAAGAAGAACTTCCATGGAGAGACTCTGGCAGGCACTGAGGACAAAGTGTGCTTTAATTACAGGGGCACAAGCTGCCACAAATCCTGTTTTTTGGAAGGAGACACAGAATCAATAATGATGAGCTATCAGAAGTTAGCCATGAGAACTCCTGGATCTTGAGAAGGAAGCAGGGCGTTCCATTCCCTGGAGATCTCTGACATGTTTAAAAGCATGCATCACTGATGTTTCAGTGGCTTGCATGGAGGCCTCCCTGAGACAACAGGTAAGACAACGGCGCCCTGGCCTAGCCCAATAGCGCACAGGTTTCTGGAGATCATCTGGGGAGTAGGACACCCGCATCATCTGATCCCCCTTCCAGATTCCCAAATGCCTGTTGCAAGCTGGGTCTGTGAAATCTAAGGGATGCTAGTTCGGACCTGGAGTCAAAGTTCATTTGCAAAAGGTAATGATATACACTCTGTGAGGGCAGATCTATGCATCCCACTACCTGATGTGAAAACAGACTTTGAGTAGGGCTGTCTGCTTAACGAGGTCAAGTCTCCCTGGCTGCCATCCACGTGGCTAAGCATTTCCTTCTTTGAGGCAGCTCCTTTTGAAAAAGATAGGAGTTCTGCCAGGGAAGAGCCAGGGGAAGCAATGACAGAATTCTGAAGCAGGCGGTGCAAGGGACTGGAAAAGAAAAGACCCAGAGAAGGGAGAGGACTGAGCAGCAGGGGACCTCGTAAACCCCTGGAAGCTGGATGCATTTCCTGCCCCCGAGGTACCAGGAAGAAGTAAACTGGAAAGTAAGCTGGTAGACCTCTCGGAGCCATGCCCCCTAAGACAAGTGTGGAAGCCCAGCAAGTTACCATCAAGTGCAGCGGTAGTTTCGTTGGTCCCTTGGCAGAAATCTTCTCCCATAACCCCCTTCTCACATAGCGAACAGTTGTGCCTGCAATCTGGAACTCTCCGGGGAGCTCTATCTTCCAGTCACTGTTGATGGATCCCTTACCGGAGTCTTTGAGAGCTAGAAAGCAAATTGAAGACCAAAGAATCAAGGTGCTGGGGGTGGGGGGACCCAGCCTGTCTTTAAAAGGAATCTGCGGCCCCTGAGTGGGGCAGATGTCTCCCCTTCCACAGGGGGAAGGAGGGAGGCCTGAAGCAAGAGAAAGGGAGTACTCTGTGTACTAAGAACAAAAGCCTGGATTGCAGGGAGCACAGAGCTGCAGATCCCTAGGATCCCCAGGGAGAGCTGTGGGATTGATGGGCATCTTCCAGCCTGGGCTCCTGTCTCGAAACCAACTCAGATAGCTGGGGTTAGGGGTGGAGGGGCAGGGAATGGAGATGACCACGGCCTGATCTCATTTCACTAAACTTACCCAGCAGATGGTTTTCTGCCCGATGAATTCATTCCATTTTAATGTGTCCTAGGCTACAAACCAGGTTTTGCTGTTTCAGCAAAACAAATGAGTTCCCTTTCCTATTACCTACCTGGGGCTCTAGAAGGAGAGCAGCCCATCTCCAGCACCTCTTAAGGATCTGATATCCCCATACTACTAAAGTGGATGTCCCTTCAATCAACAACCATTACTCTATTAAGCATGAATGTTTGGAAATCCTAGCCGCCCACAGATGTGGTGGTCACACTCAGCAGCTGTGGATGAGCAGTGGCTGGGGGCTGAGCGTGGCAGGGGAGGGGCACTCTCATACCCTAGCTCTGTGGGTTTCAGGTTCTCACGTTTGCTAGCCCACATCTCTACCAGGGACAGCCTGTGTCAGGAGAGGCTGAGAATCAACATGCTGCTGACTGGCCGTAAGCAGAAACTTGGTTTTCCACACAAGCCATGTATTTACTATTTTCCGAGGCGCTCACCAGGACTTTTCTTGTGTCTTTCCACCTACGGGTGAAGACCATGTAGTTCTCATGAGGACAGCACTCTGCAGTGCCATTCTATTTTGTTGTTGCTGTTGTTATTTAGGAAAAAAAAATCCCAACAAACTAAAATCTATTCTGGCATTTTAGGAGAAGATGGCAGATGACACGAGGTGATAGGAAGTCTGTGTCATTTCCAAAAATGGGAACTCCAGGGCACCCTTGGTCCTAGGCCCACACTCCCTACACACGCAGCTGGAGCCCCACGGACACCCCAAATTGATCTACATATATCTCCTTGGGACCCTACTCAGTCTATAATCAACGAAATCAGATTCTGCCACATTGACTATTCTCTGCTTACTGAGGCCAGAAATAAAATGCCCACATTTAATACCGATTTTGGAAAATGAGAGTTGAAACCCAAAAGGGGTTTTGGTTACTGCTCAATTCGTCAGCCCCAGGCTGCGGCAGGCCACAAGCAGCAGAGGGACGCTGGGTAGCCACTGGCCTCAGCTCCCGTCTCCAGGACATTATGGTCCCAGTGCTCACTCCCGGCAAACACAGAGGAGACGCATGCTCAGGGCTTCTGGTGTTAGAGGGACTGCCAAGAGAAACTGGTTCCTCGCTTCTAGGAACTTTCCAGCAGAGTAGCTTCCAGTGGGGTCTCGTATCCAGGGTGGCTAAGAGAGGCTGAGGATTACAGGACTCCAGGGACAGCTTATGAGAGAGAAAGCCCTACCACTTGGAGCCGAATATGTTTCCCTTCAAGAAATCTGACACACAACTGAAATGTCCTGGCTATGAAAAGGAGGTGAGAATGTTGGGACGCCCACAGTTTCCTCTCCTTTTTCTCTTCTTCTGCCACCATCTGCAAACTGCCATTTAAGGAGCATATTCTCCAGGTTGGCTCTTTCATATACTCTGACCCATTTACTCTTCTCAACAACCCTCTGAATTATTGTCGTCACTTCATGGGTGAGGCAATGGGGCCGCAGAGAAGTACCTTGCCCAAACTCACAAAGCTATTCAGTTGTAGAGTGGAGACCTGAATCCAGTAGACCAGCCCTACTGCACTTATCACTCTGACAACTTTCAATTCCCAATTCTTTAGGTTATAGCATCAGTATAGATTTTTATGACTAATGCTGAAATATGCAAAGGTAAGGCCTATTTTCAAAAAGGACAAATTCCAGGCTCTAATTGTTATAGGGTTTCATATTCTATATACTGTTACAAAAATGACTAATTTCATGGATTTCCAGTGTTTCCAGTGAGCCAATAATGCAAATATATACTTGGTTATATTAATTATTAGTGAATGTAGGCAAAGGGTGCATGGACATTCATCGTTCTTTCAAGTTCTCTGCAGGTTTAGAAAATTGTCTCTTGCATATGCATGGTTAAATTTGGTCTATTTGTCACCTTACATGCATGGTATCTATTTGGTCTTAGGATCCAATGTGGGCTGGTGGGAAGGAGCAGACAGAAAAAACCAAGGGGCTAGAGTCGTTTAAGACGGCAGTCCCCAGGACTGATTTTGGGGACTAGGGACTGGTTTTGTGGAAGACAATTTTTCCACAGACCAGGGGGCTGGGGGAAGTGGGGTGGTGGGGGATGGTTTTGGGATGAAACTTTCCACCTCAGATCATTAGCCATTAGATTCTCACAAGGCATGCAGAGCCTAGATCCCTTGCACATGCCAGTCACAATAGGGCTTACACTCCTGTGAGAATCTAATGCCCCGCTTCTGATCTGACAGGAGGCGCAGCTCAGGCGGTCATGCTTGCTCACAGGCCACTCACCTCCTGCTGTGCAGCCTGGCTCCTAACAGACCATGGACTGCTGCTGGTCCACAACCCGGGGGCTGGGGACGTCTGCTTGAAGAAACACCTCAGAAACTACAAGTTACAGGAACAGCAGATGTACCCCTCTTCCCTGCCAGTCCCTCACCCTATTTTGAGGGCCTCCTCACCGGGGGCTAAAGACAGACACAGCTCTTACCCCCAGGGAGCTCACAGTTTGGAAGGGAGACAGAGAAAAGATGAACATAACACAATTTCACAAGCTTTATGGTAAGGTGCCTCCGGGGTCTAGGAATGTTGTGGGACAAGGCAGATAGGGAAGGCTTCCTGGGACAAGCCCACTTTCAGCTGAGTGTGTAGGACAGGGAGGGACACAACGCCACCTGCAGTGTGTGGCTCAGCAGCGTGTGGCTGCCTGCGGTGTGTGAAGCAGGATGGTCGTTCCTGACCCTCAGAGGCCAGGACTGCTAAGATCAGTTCTGGGCAGGGTGATGGAGGGAGGAAGGCACAGCGCCCCGTACGGAGAAGCAAGTGGAAGGCGAAGTTTTTTCTACTTTTCGGAGGTTCGGCTGGGAAAAGGAGGCGAGAGATGAAGAGTGGCCTCAGAGGGTGGGAAGGAGGAAGGGGGCTCACTGTGAGAATAAAGGACACCCACGCATGCTGAGGTGGCTTATACAGAGGAGTCAGAGATGAGCAAATGATTTCTTTGAAGCTGTGTGCTGACCACAGTCACACCAGGACCTGCTCCGTAGAACCCATTTCTCTCACAAAGACCAGAGGGAAGCCAGGCAGCTGCTCTCCTCCTTGCTGGGCCACTGGCACGGACCGGCTGACTCCCATATCCACGCCCCGCCAGTGACAGACTCCAACATTGGCTGCCCTGGGCTGGGGCCCCAGGCTCATCCCTGGTTCATGGCTTCTGTGAATACCCACTGTGCCCATCACACGGCATCTGTTTCTCCCTCTAAGCAATGGTACCCAAGATTTCTCGTGGGAACATGTTTTTCCTCCTGTCACATGGGGCTGGACTCCGCAGTTCCAGGCACAGGCCCATCACCCAACCCCAAACAGGGGGACTTCCGTTCACCTTAGAAAAAGGCAGCTTTCTTCCCACAGGGTTTCCCAGAGACTGGACGTGAGCCTGGATCTACCAGCCCACAGGAAGATGTCCACAAAGAGGACAGGCAGGAGTGCCAGTGCAGAGAGAGACCATTTTTCCTGTGACATCATTTTAAGCCTCTGGATCCAGCAGTGCCTGAAGCTGGTACTCAGCAACTGAGAGCTGGGTTTGGCTTTCACACATGCTTTCTGGAGGTTGGGTTAAAAAATGCTAATCACGATGAGGGCAGAGCAGGTGAGGAAAGAAAATTACTATTATGGTTTCCCATAAATAGGCCCCAGATGTTTACCACCAAGCTAAGTATCCAGGGCCTCTGCCCATATCCCAGCACTAACACCTCTATCTTGGTCCTAACCCTCTTATCCCAGCTCTAACCCTCCTATCATGGCTCTAACCCTCCTATTCCGGATCTAACACCCCTATCCTGGCTCTAACCCTCTTATCCCGGCTCTAACCCTCTATCCTGGCTCTAACACCCCTATCCTGGCTCTAACACCCCTATCCCGGCTCTAACACCCCTATCCTGGCTCTAACACTCCTATCCCGGCTCTAACACCCCTATCCTGGCTCTAACACTCTTATCCTGGCTCTAACACTTTAGAGGTAACGCTTTCTCCACTGGCCTTGTTTATGTATTTCTCGGGCCCTTATTAAAAGATGTTTTAAAGTGACTCTGAATTACAACCTGCAAACTACCCTACTTCCATGTCAAAAGTAAAACATCTGGGAGGTCAAGAGTGAAAAGGCCCAAAAAAGGGCAGGAGGGCACACCTGGAGACGGTTATAAGACCATCCTCAGAAACACTGCACAGAGGTGGAGGCTGGCCCAGGGAAGCCCTGCTTCTGCCATCGGAGGCCCGACAGTGGGTGGCCCAGCAGGAGCGACTACAGCATGAGGTGGAGGCAGAACCAGTTGGGCCTTGGAGCCTGCCATCCTCTGATCACCGGAGTGGGGTGTTTCCTGTCTGTAGTGGAATGGGTGGGAGAGGTGTCAGGAAGAGGGCTACTCAGAGGAGTCACTGGGTGTGGTCAAGGAATTATGGGACAGGAAAGTGAAAGAGGCTGCAGCTGACGGCCGAACCCCGGCAAGGTCAACTGCCCCTGGGGAGGAACATATCGGACAACCGAGTGCTAGTGACAGCCGGCTCTCTGGGGAAAATAGCCTAGAGTTATGGTATATCTGCTACCCAAAGTGTAAATACCCTCACCATGACAGATTTTGTTATCCA